TTTTTTTTTTTTTTCCCTCAGCCTGGACTATTGGACTCTCTTTGGGTCTCACCTCCCTGTATTTGGAGTTGGGATCCGACCCCAGGCAGTAAGCTGGGCAGTCAGAGTATATCCCAGTTCATCTCTGCCTCTTGGGAATCATCCTCTTGCGTGACCTTTTCTTCATTATTTTACCTACTTTTGTCTGGTGTTCTAGTGATTTAAGCGGGGAGGGGAGTAAATCCGGTCTCTCTCCTTCTGCCACGGCCAGAAGTGGAAGTAACCCTCCTGTCATTTTTGTAAAGTTTGAAAAGCAGAACAGTGATACAGATAGATACACAGACACAAACACATTTAATGGGAAAAAAAATGAAACCGCATAAAAAATGCCTAGGGCAGCTAAACATCAAATTTGAGAGAACAGTGTCTTAGAGGGAGAGGTGGGAGAAGGCTACTCTGAAATTAAGGTGACAGACAATAACGGCAGAACTTTAGGATTCTTTGAAGCTTCCTAGGAGGTCCGTGGAAGTCCACCATGTAATTCTGTGTAGTTTCTGTGCGCGTGAAGTCTAAGAAAAATGGAAAGGTATACCAAAGGGAGACTAAGTACAGAATGTTAGTTCCAGAGCATTCCAGAGAGATGAAGAAGTGAAAGAGAGTAGTAACTGTGTCTGGAAGCTACCTAAGCCAGAAGGCGCCGTTGGTGGGGACAAAATCGCAGCCACGGAGCTGGTGCATCTCTTTTCCTCACCAGCCGGGTCTCCGGAAGGCCTGTGATTTCCCTGCTGGTGCTTTCCTCCTGGTACTTTTCTGTGATGAAACCCTTCAAAATCTCAGCTTCCACGAACACCACGTTGCTGAGTCACCCATCCACTCACCTCTGGGTCGCTCCCCCTCGCTCCCGAAGACTTGAGCTCTTGGGTCGTCGTCACGTTCTCTGTTATCCATCCCCCCGGATGGCCTCTCTCCGACTTTGGCCTCTGGGTTTCTCGCACCACTTTCCTCCAGTGAGCGTCTCCTGCTTGGAGCTTCGCGGTGGCCTCTTGACTGGTTTCCCTGCGTCATCATCATCATCACACCCCTCACCCCGCTCCAGTCTGTTCTTCGCACGGTAGCCGGCAGAGTGCCCTTTTATTTATTTTTTTTTTTAATTTTTTTTTTCAACGTTTATTTATTTTTGGGACAGAGAGAGACAGAGCATGAACAGGGGAGGGGCAGAGAGAGGGAAACATAGAATCGGAAACAGGCTCCAGGCTCTGAGCCATCAGCCCAGAGCCTGACGCGGGGCTCGAACTCACGGACCGCGAGATCGTGACCTGGCTGAAGCCGGATGCTTAACTGACTGCGCCACCCAGGCGCCCCAGAGTGCCCTTTTAATACAAGGTCGTGTCCTTTCTCTGCTCCAGATCCTCTGGTGACTCCTGTCCCTGCCCGCCACTTGGGCCTCCTCGACCCCCCTGGAACCTGCTTGGCGTGCCCCTGCCTCGGTTGTATCCACTGCCCCCTCTGCCTCGAGTGTTTCTCCTGCAGCTACCCACGTGGCGAGTTCCTTTCCTCAGCTTCTGTGGCACCTTCTCCTCAACTGTCCCCTTCTTCACGAGCCTACCCCTGACTGCTTTATTTAAAACTGTACTCACATCCCCACAGATCTTTCCGTCTCTTCCTCTGCTTTCTTTCCTTCTCTCTGCCACCTATCGGTATGCTATAATTTATGTATTTACTTTGTTTATTGTCTGTCTCTCTCCACGGGAATATAAGGTCCTTGAGGACAGGGATTTTTATGTTTTACTTATTGCCGTAATACAAGTGTCTACAGGTGCCTGGGTGGCTCAGTCGGTTAAGCATCTGACTTCGGCCCAGGTCGTGATCTCGCGGCTCGCGTGTTCGAACTGACGGCTCAGAGCCCGGAGCCTGCTTCGGATTCTGTGTTTCCCTGTCTCTCTGCCCTTACCCTGCTCGCACGCGCTCGCTTTCTCTCTTTCTCTCTCAAAAATAAACATTAAAAAGAATATAAGTGTCTAGAACAAGGGCCTGGCACAGAGAAGGTGCCGTTAGTGGCTTTGGGGATCCCTGTTGCCCCCGTTTTGGGCTTTGAGTATCAGCTTTGTGGGGTCCTGAGATCCCAGCTGTGTGACTCCTTCCATTCTCAAGGGTCTCTCCGTGACCCCTCTGCTTCTCCTGGGGATGCACAAACCATTTGGTTGCTCCCGTGCCACGAGGGGACACAGCAACACTTCAAGGCTGTCTGAGGCTCCATCTGCTGAGGTGCTCCACGAAACTCTCCTTGCTGGGCTCTTGTCTTTTCTGGGGCACAGTTGTGGCTCTCAGATCCCACAGCTCTGCCTGGACGTTCTATTGCCTTTGGCTCAGGGAACAAGGACTTTCTCTCTGGGACCCTGTTGACATCTTTTCAACATTTTCCCGTGCTTTTCTCCCCCCCTTTCTGGATCTCGCTTTTTCCCTTCCCTCCCCCGGGCTGGAGACTTTTTTCCCTGGTGTGGCGAGGAGGGCCGTCTTGCTTTGGCTCATCTCTCCTGTCCAAGTTGTGAATCTGTCCCATTTTTCTAAGGGCCTGGGCTTTTGAAATCTAAAACTAGGAGGACGGGCCCTTTCTTTCTGCACTGGGCTCTCCCCTTCTCTTTGCTGAGTAGATGCTCACTGGTAATAACCGGGATGCTTTTCTGGAAAGAAGGGGCGTGGGAGAAAGGAAAGGCTAGGGCAGGGGAAA